AAAGAAAGAAAGAAAGAAAGAAAGAAAGAAAGAAAGAAAGAAAGAAAGAAAGAAAAGACACTGACCTATCAAAAATATTTGGGGATAGGTTTTTTAAATTTGGTAATTTTTTTTGGGCGGGGCGGTTCAAGACAGGGTTTCACTGTGTAGCCCTGGCCGTCCTGGAACTCACTCTGTAGACCAGGCTGACCTCGAACTCAGAAATCCACCTGCCTCTGCCTCCCAAGTGCTAAATTTGGTAATCTTGTAGGGACCCGAAGGTTTTGGGTTGTTTTTTTTTTTTTTATTGTAGGTGGTGGTAGTTTTGTTTTTTTCTGAGCCATCTACCTACTTACCATTTCCAGACATACAAACTTTGAAGAAACCTAGTTATCTACAGGAAAGACTGAATGAAATGTGGTGGTGTGTTATATATGTCTCACATGCAGTAAGTGCTTCTCCCTCCCCTAACAGTTACTGACTCTAAATCTATCCCAGTAGTGATGGCACATGCCTTTAATCCCAGCACTTGGGAAGCAGAGGGAGGTGAATCTTGGTGAGTCTGAGGCCAGCCTGGTCTACAGAGGGAGTTCCAGGACACCCAGGGGTACATAAAGAAACACTGTCTCAAAAAATAAAAGATAAAAAAATGTTAAATCTAAAAGCTCTTTGTGTTATCCATGGTAAGATTTAGTTTTTGTAATCTCTTACTGAGTGCATTCAAAACTAGTGAAGTGGTTTTGTTTATGTTTTTTTTGTTTTTGTTTGTTTGTTTGTTTGTTTGCTGGTACATGGAGTTGATCCTAGGTCCTCACACATAAAGCCCACTCTCACTGAGCGACAACTCCAGCTATATTTTTATAGTTTAGCCTTCTCTCTTTTTTCCCATGAATCATCAGGGGTGTTCCTTGTTTGGGTCCTGACTTCTTTATGCTGAAAATCCCTCGAAGAATCAATTATTTGGCAATGAAAAATGTATCTTGGGAGATTTGAATGCAGTTAACATTTTGTCCTTTAAAAAGACTTGGCATCCTTGATAATCTGTCAAATACAGATATTGAGAGAGTAGGAAGATATTTTTAGCACTTGTTTCTAAAGATCCAGGCCAGGATGTTCTCTGAATAGCCAGAACTGGAATCAGGGCACCTTTCCATGGGTTGGTTCTAGTGCCTTGCATTCAGGAGTGTCAGGTGGCTGCAAATAGTAAAACCAAGAAAGAAGGAAAGTTTATTTTGGACTGCAGGCCCCCTCAGCCCTATATGCAGTCCTTCCTTCCTCAGAACAGATGAAGTTGAAAGCTATGCAGCTTATTTCATGAAATAAGTTTTCTAGTTTACACTTAACTCTCCAGTCAAATCGTGGTATGTATCAGACACCACTGTAACTTCTTTGTACTTCTGAGTGGTGTTTGCCCTCAGACCACTTCTGTCCCTGTGTACAGTTAGCATGTGGTATTGAGAACATTCCACATTCTTGGGTAGATGGAATAAAGAACCTAGCTTTCCAAGCTGGATGTAGTGGCTCATGACTTTGATCTCAGCATTCAAGAGACAGAGGCAAGCAGATCTCTTTGAGATAGAGGCCAGCCTGGTCTACATAGTAAGTTCCAGGATAGCCAGAGCTCTATAGCGAGACCCTGTCTTGAAAACAACAAAATAGTGGCTAGCTGACTGCACACACAGACTGACTAAGCATTTCCACCATCTCTGAATACGGCATTAGCATTGTATATTACTACCAGCTTTCTGGTCTTCATTTAAGATTTTTTTTCCTATTATTAGATGTATAAATGCATAAATGAATATTTCACATCTTTTGTCATATTTACTTCAAAATGTCCTATATATTATCCAGTTCGCAATGATACCTGTAGCCATCCAGCAGCCATGGGAAACTGGGTTTACCTGAAAGGGGGGCTGGAAATGAAAAAAAAAGGTAGGTGGGCGAGAGAAGAATGAAGCCAAGACAAAGTTCTGATCAAGGCTCAAAGTTTAATGTTCAGTTCTGCATTTATAAAGGGAAAAATTACGAAACCCATCCCCCTGCTTCAGCTAGAGTATGTTGTAGAGCAAGGTCAGCACAGGCAACCAAAACAGCTAAATTCCCATGGAAACCTACAACTACAGCCAAGGCAGATGTGTCGATCCAGGTTGATAAGACCTGTCGCAGCAAATGTTCAAGGTCTGCTTAGCCTGCTCAAGGCTGGGAAGGGCGTGCTAGGAAGGCCACAGATACCCTGTCCATAAAAACATTTGCACCTTGATACTAAAGCGTAAGGTTTGGAAACCAAAGTAAAAAAGATACACACTTGTGTCTGACTCTCCATGCAGTGTTGATCTGGCTGTGGAGAGAGCGTCTTCCTTCTTCCTTCTGCAGCTAGCGTTGCTGCCAATACACTTTATTCCAGTTTACCCTTGACTTACAGGAAGGGCAGATGAGACTCAGCCCCGTGTATATGTTCACCCATGTTCTTGTTGATGCTGTTGAATGAAAGGTGTGTGTATTTTTTGCCAGACTCAAAGAAGAGTCTTGTCAGAAAGAGGTAGTTGGCATACATTAGCTACCAGTAGCTTCCAAGTGTGATCTACAGGGCACCGTGGCAGCACCTGCTGGGTGCTATGTATCTGTTGCCTAGAATCTGTGTCCAGCTGACCGATGGCCTCCAGATGACCATCATCTCGACATCTGTGGCTTCATGGCTTCATGGATTTTCCCCTCCCATCTCTCTCCAGGGGCTCATGTAGCCCAGGCTGGCATTGAACTCTTGATCTACTTTTTGAGTGCTGGGATCACAAGCATGAGCCACCATGCCCAACACTCCTAGTAATTTTTTTAATAAGGGTACCTACCAGTCCTATTGGATTAGGGCACACCTAAGGGCCTCAATTAACCTCAAATACCTTTTTAAAGACTACTTCTCCAGCCGGGCTGTGGTGGCACATGCCTTTAATCCTAGCACTCAGGAAGCAGAGGCCAGCGTGGCCTATACAGCAAGTTCTAGGACAGCCAGAGCTAAAACAAAGAACCCTGTCTCAAAATACAAAACAAAAACAAACAAAACAAGCACACACTTCTCCAAATATTGGCACTCTGGATAATCTAGGACCGTGCAAGGTGATACTAGGGTCTGAGGTTAGATCTAATCCAGTTCTCTGTCTTGGAGCTGCCTGGAGGAATGTCCTCTTGACACCTTTCCTTCTGTGCTGCAGAAACTTCTGAACTTAGAATCTTTTTTTCCCTTGTTTTTCTAGGCAGGGTTTCTCTGTGTAGCCCTGGCTGTCCTGTCCTGGAATTCACTCTGTAGACCAGGGTGGCCTCGAACTCAGAAATCCGCCTGCCTCTGTCTCCCGAGTGCTGGGATTAAAGGCATGTGCCACCACCGCCCAACTTCTCCCTACTTTTTTTATATCACTATATA